TAAATAAAGACTGGTGAAAATTTTGTCATCAAAATGATGTCTAATGCTCACTTAAGGTTAATCTTTAAAAAAACAAATAAATTAATAACACGGTTAAATGTTATCTTTACAAATCTCAAAATGATTATCCATTTTTAATAATGTACATTATAATGTTGTGATGCCTAAAGCCATTTCCAAAATAACTGTATAAAAATAAGCTTTTTTTATTTTGAACATATTTATATCTAAATTAAGAAATAATTTTGATAATGTTGGAAAATTATCCGCTTATCGGTATTAGACAAAAATTGGTATACTGGTGCATCCCTATTTTTAATGATTAAATATACTTAAGGAAGACAATACCATTCATTAAGTATGAAAATAGACATGAAAAAAACAAGAAAAAATACCAATTGCATTTCAGCATGTACTGTGAAACTTGTCTTAGCGAATAGCTTGAACTTGAATAGCAAATACTCTAGTCACATCTTTTTTTTGAACTTTAAAAACAATAGACATTACAAATAGATTTAATAACTAAATAAATAAATAAAGCACAGCTAAATCTGAAATTATTTACTAAAACACCATTGGAGTTTCGTGTGAAGTAATTCAGTTCAAATTAAAATCTTAACCAGACGAATATCAGAGCGCTGCTTTGTAAAAACTGTAAGAAAATAACTGCATCCTTTGTCCTGCATTGTCATTCTTTAGAATAATAAATAAATGAAACATTGCAAGAGTGAATTGTCATTTACACAGAAGGAGCCACCCAGCTGCAAGTCGACTGCAGCACTAACGAGACAAAGTTTCTTCGGGAAGTGTCCCGCTTTCATGGTTGCCGGGATGTTTAATTACACCGGCTGCGTAGTGGGTAAAGAGAGGAGGAGGAGAGAGGAGAGAGGAGACAGGAGAGGCATCCCTCTCTGACAGACTAGCTGAGATTCCTCACCTGTCCAAGGCGGGAGACGCACCTGTCACCACACACTTAATCACCATCGCGCCCAACCAGGGAGCCACACCACCACGCTGAAAATTAAAATGAACTTTCTTGCCATGCAGTTAAGGCGGCAAAAAAAAAAAAAGAAACGCTGTCATTCCTCTTCCCCTCATTAATATTCTGAGGTTAAGAGCTTTTCAGCGAAACGTAATTAATTGAAGCTGAGCTGACAGTAAACAAGCAATTTCAAATTAAAGCAAAATGACAGGACCGTCATTTGCAAAATGTGAGCAGATTTTGGCGACAGATAAATGAAGGAAAATATTAAGGAGGAAAAAGTGATGAAGATATTAATCTTCACCTGTCTGTGTCACCGTGCCACTCATATCCGCGATGTTGCTCTCGATCCGCTGCAGATGCTTCTTGTCCTCTTTGCTGCCCATAATGAAGGGAAGGATGTATTTCTGCAATTAAAAACATGGCACGCTATTAGAATTCCACTCAGGAACAGGGAAAACAGGCCAGCGGACCAGGACACGCTCTGTCGCTATATGTCGAAAAATAGACAAAGGGCTAATCTATTAGTGTTAGTGTAATCAAACCAAAACTCAACTAAAACCCTCAGTGAAGGGATAAAAATCTCATGGTTTATTTTTGAGAGCTTTACAACATTTGTTTGATGAGAAATATTGCGAAATAACAATTTAAAACAAATTATTTGTATTTTACTATATTTTAGAATGTAATTTATTCCTGTGGATTTTTAGCAGTCATTACTCCTGTCTTCAGCATCACATGATCCTTCAGAAATTATTCTAATATGCTATTCTAATAATTAGGTGACAATCTTGAGCAAAATAAATGTACATAAAACACAACTACAAATTTTAAAAGCACTAGAATACACCCTAATTTATATAACCGAGTTGAAAATGATGAACATCACCATTAAACTAAATATTTCCCTAAAATAAAGACCTAAAATGAAAAGCAGAAATTGGCTAAATCCTGTTTTGAAACTGAATGGAAGTGATTCATTTGAATGAAACAGACTTGTTAAAGCTACATTTGAGAGAGGCTGGATAAAGACAGCATGTTTTATTAAAGCTTACAGTGTATCAATACAGTATGATATTAAACAGAAGGGGGGGGGGGATCCAAACAATACTAGTGCTTGAGCTTGATTGCACAGCATCAAATTCAGTATTGTGTTTGGCAACAGCAGATAAAACTTCATTATATGAATTATGATTAATAGGCCTGCATTCATGCTGAAAAAAACAAGACCTTTTGTTTTTTTTAATCCCTCTCAAAAGTCTTGTGGTTTTCTCACTTCATCCAGAGCAATTTGCCTCAATGGCTGACACAGAGGCCAAGAATTAAGCATCGGGGCATGACTCTGGGTTCAACATCATTAAGTCTTTTAGCCCACAGGCTGGCTTTTCCATTTGAACATGTCACCTTCTGAGAACAATTGCTTGTCAGAGTTTAAGCCTTGTAGAACAACATCTCCAAACACTGAGAATAAGCGGCAAAGGTCAGACGGCTAGCGCTTCCGGTAGCTGCCGCCCGGTTCTCACGCCATCGCTGTTTTATTTCCAAATGCACACGTCGATTTGTTTCCCCAGACAAACAAACAGCACATAGACAGGGAGATTAACATGGCATTTGGTGAATAGCTGGGTGCTGTAAAGCGTAATGTGCGTGTGCAGGCTCTCCGTCTGGAAAACAGTTGGCCTTAACAGGTTTTCACAGCGGAGCGAACATTGTTGACACCGGCATAAGTAATACACACTTTTAAGTTGAAAAAAAATCAGAATGAGTGTCAACACCAGGGTAGTTAATAAGAGAGCTGCTGTGAGTGCTGTTTACAATGTGCTCTATAGCATAAATAAAGTTGAGGAGGAGGCCGGGGCATATGGTGGCACCGGTGAGCCGTTCCTCTGACATGACAGCAGTGAGAGCTCTCGCACCAGGGAATAGCACCTCTAGCCATGGGCACAGATCCTCTGAACAGCAGAGATGCACGTGGGGGACAGGAGAACCACAAACTGTGTGTGTGTGTGTGTGAGCGAGACACAAAGAACGAAAGTGAGAAACGAGCGAGCAAGAAAGTTACAGAGAGTAAAAAGAAGGACAGTTTTGCATTTTCTGAAGAAAATGTGAGTGGTGCTTGCCTGCACAAAAATCTATTTAATAATGCTAAGAGTATTGCGAATGGTTGCCAAGGTCACTACTTGGTTGTGTTTGGAGTGTTTTTTGCATGTTGTTAGAACATTTCTAGTCAAAGAACTCACACCAAAGTCTTTATTATATTGTCATCACTAATCATGTCTATTTTTTGCCCATTTTATTGTCTGCCAAGTAAAAGTCTTATATAGAATCTTTTAGTAAATTTGCTTATGGTTCATACTACCATTCAAAAGTTTAGGGTTGGTAAGACTTTTAATGTTTTTTTAAATGAAATAAATTTTTGTAATATTTTTAAAAGAAGTCTGTTATGCTCACCATTGATGCACTTCTTTGATCATAAATACAGTAAAAACAGTACTTTTGTGAAAAATGATTGCAATTAAAAACAACTTTTTTTATTTAAATATATTTAAAATATAATTGATTCCTGTGATGGTACAGTAGATTTTTCAGCAGCCATTACTCCAGTCTTCAGTGTTACATAATGCTTCAGAAATCATTCTAATATGCAGATTTGATGATCTAGAAACATTTCTTAGTATTAGAAACAGTACTAGAAACATTTTTTTCTGGAAATTCATACATTTTTTCCCAGTACTCTTTGATTAATAGAAAGTTCCAAAGAACAACGTTTATTTGATATTTTTGTAACAACATCAAAGTCTTTACTGCCACTATTGATCAATCTAATGATTCCTTGCTGAAAAAAATATTCATTATTAAAATGTATTCATTATTTAATATTTTAATATTTATTATTATATTTATTTAAGCATGAGTTATGTGTTAGTAACCTGCAAATATTGTGTTTGGCAACAGCAGATAAAACTTCATTATATGAATTATGATTAATAGGCCTGCATTCATGCTGAAAAAAACAAGACCTTTTGTTTTTTTTAATCCCTCTCAAAAGTCTTGTGGTTTTCTCACTTCATCCAGAGCAATTTGCCTCAATGGCTGACACAGAGGCCAAGAAATAAGCATCGGGGCATGACTCTGGGTTCAACATCATTAAGTCTTTTAGCCCACAGGCTGGCTTTTCCATTTGAACATGTCACCTTCTGAGAACAATTGCTTGTCAGAGTTTAAGCCTTGTAGAACAACATCTCCAAACACTGAGAATAAGCGGCAAAGGTCAGACGGCTAGCGCTTCCGGTAGCTGCCGCCCGGTTCTCACGCCATCGCTGTTTTATTTCCAAATGCACACGTCGATTTGTTTCCCCAGACAAACAAACAGCACATAGACAGGGAGATTAACATGGCATTTGGTGAATAGCTGGGTGCTGTAAAGCGTAATGTGCGTGTGCAGGCTCTCCGTCTGGAAAACAGTTGGCCTTAACAGGTTTTCACAGCGGAGCGAACATTGTTGACACCGGCATAAGTAATACACACTTTTAAGTTGAAAAAAAATCAGAATGAGTGTCAACAGCAGGGTAGTTAATAAGAGAGCTGCTGTGAGTGCTGTTTACAATGTGCTCTATAGCATAAATAAAGTTGAGGAGGAGGCCGGGGCATATGGTGGCACCGGTGAGCCGTTCCTCTGACATGACAGCAGTGAGAGCTCTCGCACCAGGGAACAGCACCTCTAGCCATGGGCACAGATCCTCTGAACAGCAGAGATGCACGTGGGGGACAGGAGAACCACAAACTGTGTGTGTGTGTGTGTGAGCGAGACACAAAGAACGAAAGTGAGAAACGAGCGAGCAAGAAAGTTACAGAGAGTAAAAAGAAGGACAGTTTTGCATTTTCTGAAGAAAATGTGAGTGGTGCTTGCCTGCACAAAAATCTATTTAATAATGCTAAGAGTATTGCGAATGGTTGCCAAGGTCACTACTTGGTTGTGTTTGGAGTGTTTTTTGCATGTTGTTAGAACATTTCTAGTCAAAGAACTCACACCAAAGTCTTTATTATATTGTCATCACTAATCATGTCTATTTTTTGCCCATTTTATTGTCTGCCAAGTAAAAGTCTTATATAGAATCTTTTAGTAAATTTGCTTATGGTTCATACTACCATTCAAAAGTTTAAGGTTGGTAAGACTTTTAATGTTTTTTTAAATGAAATAAATTTTTGTAATATTTTTAAAAGAAGTCTGTTATGCTCACCATTGATGCACTTCTTTGATCATAAATACAGTAAAAACAGTACTTTTGTGAAAAATGATTGCAATTAAAAACAACTTTTTTTATTTAAATATATTTAAAATATAATTGATTCCTGTGATGGTACAGTAGATTTTTCAGCAGCCATTACTCCAGTCTTCAGTGTTACATAATGCTTCAGAAATCATTCTAATATGCAGATTTGATGATCTAGAAACATTTCTTAGTATTAGAAACAGTACTAGAAACATTTTTTTCTGGAAATTCATACATTTTTTCCCAGTACTCTTTGATTAATAGAAAGTTCCAAAGAACAACGTTTATTTGATATTTTTGTAACAACATCAAAGTCTTTACTGCCACTATTGATCAATCTAATGATTCCTTGCTGAAAAAAATATTCATTATTAAAATGTATTCATTATTTAATATTTTAATATTTATTATTATATTTATTTAAGCATGAGTTATGTGTTAGTAACCTGCAAATTTAATACTTGGGTTGTATTACTATTACTATTTAAACAAACCCCTAACTAGGATTAAGGTATGTTCAACTAATGATAGCAACAATGAAATAGGAATAGTAACAGTAATGACTTCCTGAGCAAGCGCCAGTAATGAGAATGAGTGAAAATGAAAGTTGTTAAAAATGAGAGTTGAAGTCCCATTCTCAAAACATCACTTTAAGTACTGAACAAGCTACAGTTTCAGATTGTAAAACACTGACTCGTGTAAAAGGAAAATGTGACTTTTTCTGTTAAAATGACATGGGTTTGGCTCACTACATTAGTAAGAGCTGTCATGTGGGCTACTGGCTTTATAGACCGCGTGTGCTGAGAGCAGCAGAGGGACTGATTGACTGAAGTAGCCGAGTGCAGACGGAAGCTTAGGAAGCTAAACATGCATTCCTAATCATGACATCATGGGAGTTCCATACAATGTCATTGTAAATGCTCTCTTAAAGGCCACTGCTCCATTTTCTTTCTCTTATAAAACACAGTAATGGAGTCCACATGCTCCTGTGGGCAGTGTGGGTTTAATGTCACTGAGAAACAGGGTCTCTCCCTTACTCGACGGGGCCTGAGGGCCCACGCACCCATCCGTGCCCACGTATAAAACCGTGTTGTGATAGTACTGGAAAGCAGCAAGAGTACTGTATCTGGGTTTTTCCGAAAGGGAAAACAAAGAAAGATCTAGGGGTTGAGATGAGCTCATTCTGATGACGTTACACTGTAACCACAGTGATTTACATCATCAATGTAAAAAACACATACAAAAGTAAAAATGCTGGGAAAAGCTTGAGTTCTCAGAATAATAAACACATTTAGAGAAATAGGCTTTTGGTGGCACTTAGACACGCACCCGGTAGAGATGATAGAAGCCAAAGGCCATTCCTGCCAGGATGACAGCCAGGGCACTGTAGTCTCTCCATCTGTAACCTGAGGGACCTGCAAAGATACACACACAATTTAATTTGACATGAATGAATCAAAACTGTGGTGTACAGAAATGCAGTATATCCAATGGCCTAATTCTGAAAAACAAGCAGAATTTGTTTGCAATTTGCTAATAAAATCATTCTTGAATGCATTTTTGCTTAAGATGGTGCCGGTGACCCAGATCATTTCTGTGAATCGGTATAAAGTGTCCATTTCAATGAATCAATTCAAAACACTGATTCAGTGATTTGTTTGAATCATCACTCAAATTTTTCCACGAAAGACCCCTCATATTTTTTCATATATTAAAAAAAGCTTTAGCAAAAATGTAATATATGTAGGTAAACACTGCACTGTAAAATCCAATAGTTTACCTTACTTAGATTTAGTTAGTTATCTTTACTTAGTTGTTATACTTACTAGGTTTTATTAAGTTACAGCTACTTTCAAGGCAAATAAAACAATTTACTTACTGTTTTGAGTGACACTTACTTAAAAAACTCACCATTATAGTGATTAGCGTTCCCTTTGGTTGGGCACTTTGAACTTGGTTTACGTTACTATAATTTATTTCCTGTTAATGCAGCAATGCATTATGAAGTCAGAGTTATTTGATTTCAAAGGAAGAAAAGTAATAAATTGGTTGATTTTAGAAAGTGACCTATCTTCTAATTAAAGGATTAGTGCATTTATTGTGTGTGTTTATTAATTAACTTTATCAAGTTTATTTTTTCATAAATACCCTGAGATGCTGGTTTGCATGCTTTTTTTAAGTAAGCCCAACTAATTAGATTTTACAGTGTGTTGTATATAAATAAAAAATTGTCAATATGATTCTTGCTTGTGTTCATTTAGTGAAAACAACTTTACTAATTTTTACTATATTTTACTTATATTAAACATTTTGAATTTTATGCTCTGCAAGTGTTTGGTCAAAATGGCTGATTAAAAAAAATTATCATGAGTGGAAAAAAAATATCTAAATGCATATTAAATATTGTGGAAAAACTGAAAAATATAGCAACATTTATTTTATAAAAATATTTATATTAAATATTTTATAATATTATCAATCAAAATTTCCACAAGACAAAAAATAGAAACCACTGACTGTAAACATTTTATTAGACTTGTGACTGCACCACGCACTGCCTGCACTTCTACCCTTCACAGCTTTTTTTGTTTACGTCAAACTACTGTTGAAAAACTGTTGGGAAAAAAAGTAGTGTCTACAATGACTAAAGTTTATAGTCTAAATAAGTCTATATGAATTGGTGCTCTTGTTCCTAGAAGGAAAGGGGGAAGAAAAAAAATACGAATTCTGATTACACGTGGCTGTGGAAGTGTAAACTAGATCTGAACTTTTAGATTAAGTACCACATTACTGTAAAACAGAAATTTCATCAGCTATGACTGAGTATAACGGAAACTCCCGCTTACAGTATTTGAGGGGAAAAGCACTTTGTTAAGGGTAATTGTGATCTTGAAGAAATGAAAATGAGAATTGTTTAAAAGATCACTCGTACGGTTTCTGCTCAGACCTCGCACAAGTGCTCACTAGTGGTGATATGAGGTGTGAATGTCGCATAAGAACAACGAGTACTATCAGGAAGTGAAAGCCCACATCAAAGATCCCTCCTCACCCCTCACACTCATTCTCAGAGAGAGACAGTTGACCTGGCAGAAGTCAAAAAAAAAAAAAATGCAGTTCAGTGCAGATTTTAAAAAAACAAAGAAAATTAAAATGCTTTTCTTTGGGAGCGAGACCTGACAGAATGCTCTGCTTTAAAGGAATTTAACATGCATCAACATTTGGAGCAGCATGATGATGAAAAATCAAATGCTGAACCACTTAAATATCATGAAAAGAACAATTAGGAATTAGGGAAAAACTCAACTCAGCCGTTTCAATTCACGCTGAGGCAATGTGGCAAGGCTCAGCCAACAGAAAGGAGGGAGAAATTATCATGCAAATGTTTAACGGCACACCAAACAGAGAAGTAATTAAAGCAAGCCTGGCTCTGGCAGGTCAACATGTCAGATACAAAATGCTCCATTTTGTAACATAGCGTGGTCTGCGGAACAGGTGTGTTACTGTAATTTGTCTGAATCTGCTCTACTGAATACAAATAGACAGGCTCTCTAATAGACTAGCAAAGCAATAGTAGTTTTTCATTTTTTTTTATGCGTAACTGAACAAGCAGTTTTTATCTGATTAATTATATTAGAGGTCTATTAGGGAGACCCAAATAAAATATGGCACTGATTCTTGAGAATGTCCCACAATTTTACCTGCCATTAATTTTTAAAATAGCACATTTTACACTGGATCACTAGACTTTTCTTTACACAAATGTATCATTTTATTTTCTCTTTTAATAAATGATCTTATACTACTCCTACACCATGTGACCATGTTTAAAGTCTTGATTAAAATAAAGCAGACATAGTAGAAAATAAAAAATAAAGTTTATATATAATTTCATATATAAAGTAACTGTGCAAATATTTTTGTCTGTCATTACTCTTTAACACAAATTGTAAGGAAATCATTTGGCAGTTTTAGATGATTTTCTTCATTTTAAGAAGTCATATAGAAGAGAACAGATTACTCCAAAAATAATTCTGAGGTAAATTAACTTTTATTTCTACACTTTTAACCTTTCTTCTCCTAGGAAATACCCAAGAATCAGTGCCTTGTCACTGAAGACTGAAGCTTAGTTCTGCTGAATGAAGGTGACATTCTACACCAGAAAGTACATCAAAAACTTCCATTTAAAGAACTTCTGACAACATCACTTTCTGTATCAATGGTAAACACCATTAACTGAAGTGTCCTTGCGGGAGCATGGCGTGCAGGACACGCATGATGGCAGTCTGGGTGATTTCAGAGTCCTTGAGCTTAGCCGGCGGCCGTGACCGATCTCCTACTTCAACTTGAGGTCCAAACGGAGGTCCTTCTTCCACATGGGTAGCCCCTCCACCTCCACTTTCCACTCCTTTTTATTTGGTCACTTAAGGTGTGAGCATGGCCTCCATTCCCCTTTTTTTCCAATCTCTGTTAAAATTTATTGGGTTCAGAAAAGGCCCTACTGTCCTTCTGCCGCTTGAAAATAGAGATCAGTGTATCCATTACTCCGACAGAGATGGATGCGGGTCCAGACGCATCGTCCCCATAACAAGGACATCAAAGAGAGGGACCCCCTCTTTCCAACCTGACCCCCACGAAGATCTCCTCACTCTCCCCTCATTATGCCATTCTCTCATAGCCGTTTTGATATAAAACCCCCCACTCTAGTGGGGCTGAAGCCTAACTACATGGCCATCCCATCAACATCGCTTTCATTACAAAACATGAGATGGCGGGGAGTCAAGGACAGGGTGGCAATAAATGAGGGTGGAATACATCTGGAATCATTGTCATACAGGTTAAGCATTATGCGAACTTCATTCAGGATTGGTAAATCAGCGACCGGCCTGGAGCTCATAACCCACAGAGGTAATAAAGATACAGGCTGCAGAAAGGCCCTCGGTAGGCCAACCAACCAGAGCTCGTCATAACGGTGCGGACATCATATCGCAAGGCCGTGCCAGAATTAATTTTGTGCCTACGCAAATGGGATGCTCTACGCCACTCATTTCCTTTGAAAACCACTCGTCTAAGATAATAGTTACGTTCGGACGCTTATAAAAATATCAGCATGATATTCCAAGGTATTCCACGCAGTTGGCCCGTTTTGAATTGATGTACGGGTGAAAGTTTAAACAGGATTATGGGAACACAGAGGAGATTGGAGGACTCATTTAATATAGTCACGCACCATTTGGTAGAGAAAATCTACTAGACTACACGAGTCATGTTTAAGGAGCGCATGGGCCGCAGAAACATACAGCGGGTGGGCGAGTGGAGGGGTTATAGGGTAGACCACCTATCCTAGCAAAAGCAACTGTGGTAATACTCACTGTACGGGGCCAGTGGAACAGGGTGAGCGATGTGTGCAGGTCTGGGAACGGCGACAGTCAGAGGCTCCTCCGTACTACCGGACCGCTCGATAGCCAGATCAACCTCCTCATCAGTCAGACCTACATGGAGAGAAGGTGGTATGACATTAAACACATCAACATAAGATATTTACAAAAATATAAATATATTTTTAAAAAATCAAGTTGTACTAATTTATATATTTTATATATAAAGTAATTGTGTATTTACAGTGCATGTGGTCAACTAATAATTCCTTAACACAAGCTGTAAAGAAATAGTTTGGTATTTTTAGAAAACCTTCCTCATTTTAAGTAGTCTAGCTAATAAATATTTGTAATAAATACTTAACATTACTTTTGAAACCTGAACAGATTGTTCCAAAATGATTTGTAACCTTTCATCTCTGAGAACTCAAGAATCAGTGCCTTGTCACTCACAAGATCGAAGGCACTCCAGAAAACTCCAGAAAGTACTAGAAAAACAGTGCAATATGAGAGGAAACAGTGGTGGTATTAAGTGGAACTGTGTCCTTGACTGTCCTTTGCAACCTGCAAATAGATCTAAATGTTAAAACTCTTGCTAAACTAGGTTAATAGCACTATAGGCGGCAGACATATACCAGGAGAAGCAGCTTTGGAGGTCCAAAGCTCTGAGCTCCTCTCCATTACATTCAGATCTCAAGAACAGAGCTGGTCCATTTCCTGCTGCTATATTTCCCCAGGTAGAGCTCAGCGGAACCCCAGACAGATAAAATGCATTATTTTAATTTCTTCATTGTAATGTAAATGTATTACATAATTTTGCAAATGCCAATATAATTTAATCTTCAGATCTTTTTTAATGATTTTAGTGGTGATTAAATTGCATAGAGGTCCCTGATGGAAAATGACAGGAGAGGGGAAAAAAATCTAATATTAATATTTCATTTTGTGGAAAAAAAATGCTGGTTTATTTCCAACACTGCACACAATCATTGGTCTGCGTCTTGTCTTGATTAAGCAACTCTATGTGGGCCTAAACAGAGCGGCAATGGAGTAGACGGCAACAAGAGACCGGAGAAATACTGGGAAAAGAAAGACAGAGGCGGAAAAAGCCTGTTAGTAGAATGTACTTACTTTGACATTTAATGAAGACATAAAAGCGGGAAAACATTATGGGCTTCCTCTACAATAGGCACATAAAACTCAAATGCTTTAACATCTCCATTTAGAGCCAATAGTTTAAAAAGGCTTCAGTTTCTATTAAACTGTAAGTTACACATATCAATTTAATAAATCTACTGTATCCTACAACACACATACACACTCCCTCTGACCTTTGTTTGTCCACAGTAGACTGGAGTGTGTCAAGTCTGTCATTGCGTATTTAGTCTCATATATTTTTAAAAAATCAAGTTGTACTAATTTATATATTTTATATATAAAGTAATTGTGTATTTACAGTGCATGTGGTCAACTAATAATTCCTTAACACAAGCTGTAAAGAAATAGTTTGGTATTTTTAGAAAACCTTCCTCATTTTAAGTAGTCTAGCTAATAAATATTTGTAATAAATACTTAACATTACTTTTGAAACCTGAACAGATTGTTCCAAAATGATTTGTAACCTTTCATCTCTGAGAACTCAAGAATCAGTGCCTTGTCACTCACAAGATCGAAGGCACTCCAGAAAACTCCAGAAAGTACTAGAAAAACAGTGCAATATGAGAGGAAACAGTGGTGGTATTAAGTGGAACTGTGTCCTTGACTGTCCTTTGCAACCTGCAAATAGATCTAAATGTTAAAACTCTTGCTAAACTAGGTTAATAGCACTATAGGCGGCAGACATATACCAGGAGAAGCAGCTTTGGAGGTCCAAAGCTCTGAGCTCCTCTCCATTACATTCAGATCTCAAGAACAGAGCTGGTCCATTTCCTGCTGCTATATTTCCCCAGGTAGAGCTCAGCGGAACCCCACACAGATAAAATGCATTATTTTAATTTCTTCATTGTAATGTAAATGTATTACATAATTTTGCAAATGCCAATATAATTTAATCTTCAGATCTTTTTTAATGATTTTAGTGGTGATTAAATTGCATAGAGGTCCCTGATGGAAAATGACAGGAGAGGGGAAAAAAATCTAATATTAATATTTCCTTTTGTGTAAAAAAAATGCTGGTTTATTTCCAACACTGCACACAGTCATTGGTCTGCGTCTTGTCTTGATTAAGCAACTCTATGTGGGCCTAAACAGAGCGGCAATGGAGTAGACGGCAACAAGAGACCGGAGAAATACTGGGAAAAGAAAGACAGAGGCGGAAAAAGCCTGTTAGTAGAATGTACTTACTTTGACATTTAATGAAGACATAAAAGCGGGAAAACATTATGGGCTTCCTCTACAATAGGCACATAAAACTCAAATGCTTTAATATCTCCATTTAGAGCCAATGGTTTAAAAAGGCTTCAGTTTCTATTAAACTGTAAGTTACACATATCAATTTAATAAATCTACTGTATCCTACAACACACATACACACTCCCTCTGACCTTTGTTTGTCCACAGTAGACTGGAGTGTGTCAAGTCTGTCATTGCGTATTTAGTCTCTCTCTCGCGCACACTTGCTCTGTTTACTGGAGATATCCCCTTGGGCATTGCACTTCCTTGGTTGTTTGCTTTAATGATGTTCTTTTGCTTATATTTGAAAGGCAATAAAAAGTTGATCACAAAAAAAAAAAAAAATTGGCATATTAGAATGATTTCTGAAGGATCATGTGACACTAAAGACTGGAGTAATGGTTGCTGAAAATGCAGCTTTGCAATCACATAAAACATTTTTTATAATACAATAAAATAGAAAATGGTTAAATTGTAACAAAATGTTTCTGTATTTTTTATGTATTTTTTGGTCAGTCTTGGTGAGCATAAGAGACTTCTTTCAAATACCACCTCATAAGAAATCAGCTCTAAATCATACAAAATTTCCTCATTCACAGCAGCAAAACGTTTTCATCCAGAATTTATGACACAGATCTCTGTACATATAACTATATTCTCCCTTACTTGTCAAGAATGATATTAACAAAATTTATACCGTCACAATTTTCATTAAAATGCCCATGTAGCCGTTTTTTACCTCTCTTGCAGGAATCTCTAGGTTGAGGTCAAAGTTAAAAGGAGGGCAGATTCTGTGGGGGTTGACATGGCCCTGAAAAATGTTGAATAATTTAAGGCAAATATTGGTCATCCTGTCTTGCATGGCATTCAAAGTGCCAGGAAGCAGCCATGGCCATGTGCTGAGCTGGTGCAGTCAGCCTGTACTGTCCAATAAGCAATAATGTGTCCCTGGACTCCCTATTCATCTGACCACACCAGACTGCATGGTGGCAGACTATTGAATGAGACTTGGAGGCCCCCCTCTCATTTCCTCCCACTCACCTCGCCGTAAAGACGCTCTCAGGAAGTTCACGTTTTCGTGAGTTCACCTCAGAACGAGGGGGACATTTTCTAAGGACGTAATGAACAAATATGTACATATTTGTAACATCATTTGAATTCTTAAATAGCACCCCCCGTGCAATTTTAAAGGGGTCCGGCGTGCATCCGAATAAGATGCATGCAAATTCATTAACGCGTTTGCTTTTCCTTCGAGTTTTCGGACTCACTCAGCTGTTTTGTCTGCTCTGATGCCTTTATTACAAAGAAAATGGGACGCCAAATGAAAGACCTTTGAGATCCAATTTAAAAGAAGGACAACAAGAGTGAATTTTACATATAAAAGGAAAAGGACACAAAAAGGAAACACGAAATTTATTACAGTTTCCAAAACCTGTGGAATGACCCCTCGGACCTCCATTTCAGATCGACCTGCCGGTAGATGAATTTTGTTTTAGACATAAATTACATCTAATGACGACACCGTAAAAAAAGAACAATAATGGAAAGCTATTCTGTATTTCATTATACTGTATTATTTGGTGCACCTGATACACGCAGAGCCTGTTTATGAGTCACCATATTAGCAGATGCTCAGTCGAAGCATTTGCTTTGACCTTGCCATTCTCATTGGGGCATGAAATTACGGTGGTGGCACTGGGATATTACAGCTATAAATACTGTAAACTGCATATCTGGGCTACGTTTTCTATTGTCTTTCAACATAAACCTGATCGGTATTTATTTAAAGGAAAACCCATTGCTCTCTGTATTATTTATGGCTCTATTTTCTGGGCTCTTATTTTCAGGATGTTTTTTTTCCTCCACCCTTTTTTTAAAGAGTGATGAGGCGACTTTTAGACATAAATTACATCTAATGACGACACCATAAAAAAGAACAATAATGGAAAGCTATTCTGTATTTCATTATACTGTATTATTTGGTGCACCTGATACACGCAGAGCCTGTTTATGAGTCACCATATTAGCAGATGCTCAGTCGAAGCATTTGCTTTGACCTTGCCATTCTCATTGGGGCATGAAATTACGGTGGTGGCACTGCGATATTACAGCTATAAATACTGTAAACTGCATATCTGGGCTACGTTTTCTATTGTCTTTCAACATAAACCTGATCAGTATTTATTTAAAGGAAAACCCATTGCTCGCTGTATTATTTATGGCTCTATTTTCTGGGCTCTTATTTTCAGGATGTGTTTTTTTTTCACCCTTTTTTCAAAGAGTGATGAGGCGACTCATCCAGCCATAAAGTGCAGTTCTCCAATTTTGGCACTTGTGAACTTCATAGGGTAAGAACAAGCTCACAGGGACAATTATAAAATTGCTTACTGAACGGCTGCTCTTTTTCAGCAGACCAACAAGGCTTGAACAAAATCGCTTGGTGAATATTACTTCTTATAATAATATCAGATTGAACAAGAAGAAAAATACTTAAGGTCGTAAAGATGGAGGTCACTGAGAGCGTTTCTGTGAGACTTCACATGTCAAGTCCATGTCCCACACGATTGCATGCCTTAAATAATGACCGCTCTCATAGCGTATTCATTTATGTATTAAAAAAAAGGAGGACTCTGGTCATTTTCCTGCTTTATCTCCTTCTCCTGATGACAAAGTGAAAAGCAGCTGGCCTAGGTGGTGCCGTGGAGTAATTTATAACCACATCA